TTTTCTAAGTTTTCTCTAATGAATATGTATTTCTTTTGAAATAAGGGAAGGGGACAATAAAAGATATTTTAAAAAATTCTTCAGGGCTTAACTCATGTGATAGCCCTCCATGAAGCCCTTTTTCCTTGATTCCTGGGTCACGGACTCCCCCCACACCCCCAGCACACACACACACCCTCCACCCAACCTTGCAGGTGTCGGCTCATGTTGTCCTCTAGAGTGCACAGCTTCTCTGGAGTCTCGGCAGCAGGTCGGATGAATGACTAGAAGGAAGAATGGAGTCTGCACCCCATTACCAGCTGCCTCAGGGGACCTTGCCTACTATTTGCTATTGAGCTGGCAGCCAGCATCCGGAAGAAGCAAGCCACTGGCCAGACTGACGTTATGCAAGGAACCTAGAGGAGGTGACGATTACCTGCCCATTTTTTTTACTCCAGAAGCCGGTAACTGGGGACCTCCCCCACGCAGTTTGGGGGTTCCTGTGTATCAGTGGGAACGAGGAGGAGCGCTGGCTACGTTTTGGGAAGCTCCCCGCCCCCCCACCGTCGTGTGTTGTTTCTTTGGGGTGGGTGGCTAGGACAGTCATGGTCAGAGGTGTCCGTAATGGTTCTGAGTGGCGAGGAGCCACGCCTTCAGTTTCCGCTAACCCAGTGGGTAAGAGTGCGGCCTTTGCAGTCCTACGTCCAGGTTCGAATTCTGCTTCCCCACGTGCCAACTCTGAGTTACTTAACCTTTCTGTGCCTCTATTTTCTTATCTGTAAAATGGGGATAATGAGTAAAATAGCATCTAGGAAGAAAGGCTGAAATTCGCTAGATGAACGATCTCAGTGGTTCCCACTTTTAGCCCCAGACACAAGACGCTGGCCAGGGAAGGCCCTGGCTGACACTGCAGAGCCCCAGGGGTGCCCCGTTTATTCCCACAACAGCCGCAGTCCGGAAAGCGCGCCCGTCCCTGGCCCAGCCCCAGCCCGACGCCCCCGCTTCCTCCCGCTTCCTCCCGCGTCCCGGCCGCAGGGCCCCGCCTAGTCCGCCCAGGGGCCCGCGTCGCGCTCCCGGTCCAGCGAGCGGAAAGGGCTGGGCCGGTGGGAAGAGCGCAAGGCGGGGGTCGGCGGGCGGCGCGCTGCGAAGGGGCCGAAGTACTCGGCAGCGAAAGTGACCACGTCTTCGGGCTGGTACACCAGCAGGAAGAGCAGGAAGTCGGAGATGAGCGCCTGGGCTTCGGGGTGCTGCCGCAGATAGCTGGTGTGGCCCAGTCGGAGCTCCTCCTGGAGGGAGACGGGGCAGTCCCGAGCCTGAGCCTGCGGCGGTGGGGGGCGCCCCAGGAGGCTCCCCACTCGCCCCAAGAATGGCTAAGGGGCACCGCAGCCTCCCAGCCCCTAGGGGTGTGCATTTCAAGCAAGCTCAAAGAGATCAGGATTGGTGGAATTTATGCCCGGCCAAGCTGGCTGTGGCCTCTCCTCACCTTCCTGTCCAGGAACTTGGAGTAGAGCTCCATGTCCTCCTCCCACACCAGGGGCTTCTTCTCAAACACTGGGCGAGGCTCAATCTCATCTGGGTGGGCAGGGAGGAAAGCTGCATCTCCCCGCCCCAGAACCTTCCTTGGATCCACAGAGGGACCCCAACAACACCCAAACAGAAGGCTTAGGTAAAAATCTCAGGATTCTGCCCGCATGCGCAGAGTTGCAGGAAGGGACTGAGGGCAAAATTTCTCCATCTAACTCCAGGCTCCTGTCCCATTCATAGCACGGGAGTCCGGCCCTGCATCCCGGAAGGCCCCAGGCTCTCCCACCTCCCCTTCACTCACCCACTTGATGCCTGATCGGCTTCACTCACCTTCCTCCCTCATTACGGGCATCTTGGTGATGATGCAGCACCCTGGAGAGCCCACCTGGATTCTCTTGGCCAGGTGCCTGGAGTGCAACACGGAAGGTGTGAGCATGAGTCTTCCTAGACCACCTGCTATGGGCTGAATTGTGCCCTGCCCCCAACCAGGGTTGTAGCTCTAACCCCCAACACGATGGTATTTGGAGATGAGGCCTTTAGGGAGGTAATTAAGGTTAAATGTGATCATGAGGGTGGGGCCCTAATCAGATAGTACTGGTGTCCTTAAGAGAAAGAGATGCCAGAGAGCTCTCTCTATCCACTCGCACACAGAAGAAAGGCCACGTGAGGACACATTGGAAAGGCGGCTGTCTACAGGCCAAGAGAGAGCCCTCACCAGAAACCAACCCTGAGGGCACTGTGATCTTGGACTTCAGCCTCCAGAACTGTGAGAAAATACATTTCTGTGTTGAAGCCACTGGGCCTGTGGTGTTTTGTTAGGGCAACCTGACAAGGCTAATACGCGACAGCGCCCCCTTAAGAGACCTGTCCTGGAGGCCTTAGCTTACTTCTGCCTCTGGCTCTTGGTTTTTGAGTTCCTGGGTGGTGGTCATTTCTGGATCCCCAAAAAATGCACAGGGCTTGGTAAGCACAAGGCCCCTGCTTGGGGTGGGGGCTGGGGGTGGGAAATAAAGGACTGAGACCATTAGAGGTCAAATCGTGGAGCATTCTGCTATGGGACACTCAAAATAGAAACATACTAAGTTATGAAATAAGGAAAGACACCAGTCCGATTACCATTTTCCCAGGGTAGTGACTATGCAAATACCTATTCTGAAATTTCAAGAAACAAATTCTTCTCCCCCACCCGAATTATCTTGTGATTTGGAGCCAGAGCTTTGCTGGTGGCAGCTTGGCAGCGTGCCAGGGGCACTTCTCCCAGCACATGGATTTGATCAAGTGTCCAGTCATTCAAACCTTGGGGTTTTTCATGATTACCCCTAACACCGTGGCAGCTGCTTTAGCTCTGCCTTGGGCCTTCCTCAGCCAGTCTGGGTTCTTTGGTGAGGAGGTCTGGGAGGTGCTGTGACGATTAAGAGAACGAGCGAGTAGATGAAGAACGGGTGAATGATGTGGCTAAAGCAGGGGGGACGCTCAGCTGGATCTCAATGGCAACTCTTCCTGCTGGTGTCTCCAGAAACAGCTGGTCTCCCCTTTGTCCCATCCCCCACCCCATCGTTAAGCACCCATGCTCACCCATCGCGCAGCAGGTAGTACTGGCAGGACATGGGGATGCCCTTCTCCGAGTGTACGGTCTGCTCCACGATGAACACTTCAGCCTGCTGACGGCCCACCTGGATCGTCTGGAAGCCCAGGGCTTGCTGGTAACAGGCGAAATGGGGGTGGGGTGAGGCGGATGTCCACCAAGGTCTCCCCGCTGTCTCACTCTGGCCTTTCCTCCGTCTCACATCTTCATTCCTTGTTCGCCAGTGATTAGCAGCCCTTGGCTGTCCAGACTCTCAGGTGCCACAGATTTGAGTTGTACCCCAAGCTAAATTGGGGACCCCTTCATAGAGAGCCAGCTCCAGGTTGTCCCTGCAGCAGCCCCTCCCATGCTACCTCGCTGACCAAGTGCTTCTAGTTGGCAGATTCTGTTACAGGGATGAGGAGCAGTAAGGGCATGGGTGGGGGATGGGGGCCAGTGGGGGGAGGTGGTGGAGTAAGGCTCTGAGGAGTGAGACCAGGCTGAAATCGGTGGCCACCTCAGTCCCGTGATGCTGCTGGCAAGTTGTCCCTGTTGTAATTAAAACTTAAACCCCTGTTATGGCCGGGGCCACGGAGAGAAAAGTACTAATGTTTCAAAGAAAGCAGGAAGACATGGCATGTTCTCATTCGTGTCAAACACATTGCTGCTTGCTGAGTTTGTGATGGATAAGCCTAGAATGTAATTTATAAAGTTGGTCCAGGAAAGACAAATCAGCCGTCAAAGTGTCTTGAAATCCCTTATGTTCAACGGCGCAGCTTTTTTTTTTTTAAGAGATGGGATCTTGCTCTGTTGCCTAGGCTGGAGTGCAGTGGCACAATCATAGCTCCCTGCAGCCTCAAAGTCAAGCGATTCTCCAGTCTCAGCCTCCCAGGTAGCTAAGACTACAGGCACACACCACCATGCCCAGCTATAAAGGGCATTTAAAATCATGTATTGCAGGAAATCCTAGGTACGTCGATAATGAAATTTTAGCCAAAATAAAAGAAGAAAAGGCCGGGTATGGTGACTCACACCTATAATCTCAGTGACTGGGAGGCTGAGGCAGGAGGATCGCTTGAGTCTAGGAGCTCAAGACCAGCCGGGACAACACAGTGAGACCCTGTCTCTACAAAAAAAAAAAAAAAAAAGGAACACCCTTCAGGGTTGAGAAATCATAAAAGAATATTTAAGTGCAGTTGGAGATACTGAAGTTAAAAAATGATGTATCTTTAAAAGCAGGCATGCACTAGGTTTATTTTTCCTGGACTGATTTTTGTGCAAAAAGGCTTGCTTCCCCAAACTGTTCCCACCTCTCACTCACTCCACCTGCCCCACACTTAATCTCTCTGACAACCATGGCTCTTGCTTTCTCTTGCCCTTGGAAGCCCCACTCCCACTCCTGCAGTTCTATCCCACCCCAGCTCCTTCTTCCACTCCACAGCTATCTTCTGTCCCATCTCCGTGCCCTCCAGTCCTCTTCTAGTTTGTCCCCAGGGCAAGTCTCCTGCCCAGGAAGACCCCTCACGTAGGTGGAATGGCAGAGGTTGCCCTCGGTGTCCAAGGCCAGGAAGCAGGCATTGCTGGGCACCATCCGCCGCCAGGCCATCACCCTCAGCAGCACCAGGTTGGCAGCCTCGGAGACGAAGCCCTTAATTGAGTGCCAGGGGAAAAGAGTCACTCCAGTCTTCACTTCCTGTTCAGGACAGATCTAGGTCAGGGACCCGGAGCCAGAAAGGGGCAGGGGGTGGGGGATGGGCAAGCTACTGTTGGGCATTTGGTTCTTAATGAGCCTTCAGTCCAGGCTCCTGGCCTCATGCACCCAGTCCCTGCTCACGGTTCTGAAGCGATGTGGAGCGCAGCTGCCAGCGGGCTCTCATCCTCACCTCACCCTCCTTGATACTTCTGGTCATGGCCAGCTGGTCGTCCTGCTTCATCAAACTTATCTTCCGCTCCATGGGGAGGATGAGGAACTACAGGCCAGAGCATGCAGGGGAGAATCAGGAACTCCCTGGACCCCCCAGAGGTCACCTGCACATTCTCTGTTGTAATGTTTTTTATTTAAAAACAGCAACAACACAACAAATCGAAGAGCTCCTTTGTTTGTAGTAAAGCTCAAGAACAGCAGTCACATTATGGTGCAATACAAAGTTAAAAAGCAAAATTAAAAAGCAATGCACTTCAGAATCCTGGTTTTAAAAGATGGGAAGAGTTTCTGTGGGAAGGTTCTTAGGCACCAGTAGTTTCCAATGTGTAAACAGGTCAGAGTCACATTCCAGCAGTTAGTGACGTGGTAGATGGGGCTGAGAGTGTGGGGCACAGAGCTGGAGGACTTGGAGGCCAGGTGGCCAAGGGCCCCAGGGAAAGGCAGGCTCTGGGAAAGGCCAGCCCCCATGGCCTCCAGGGAGAAGCTGGTCTCCCAGGCCAGCCCCCAGGGCTTCCAGGGAGAAGCTGGTCTCCCGGGCTGGGGGAGGGCTGGTGTAGGCAGGGTTCAGAGCTTATGTATCAGAACTCAACAGCAGCAAACCGCTGCTTACCTCCAGTATCCTGGATAGATTGGTTTTTGAGTTGTGTGTGTGTAGGGAGTTGCAGGGTAACCAGGGAGAGAGTCGGGGTGACACTCCTCGGGGGCCCCTCCCTCCCTCCCAGCGTTTCTATTCTCTCACCCTGGATCAGAATCAAAGCTTCGGCCCTAGGAGGTACCTTGATGAACTCATGACTGTGTTGTTCTCTGGCCTCCAAATGCCATGAGAGATAGCCTGGGATGTGGGGAGGCAAACACTGATGTCACAGGAGACGTGGGTTGGAGATCGAAGGAAGGGAAGGTGGTGGCCCAGACTGGAAGACTAGGTGTCATGTGGTCACGGAAGAACTACTGGTGGGTCATCGTTGCTCTTGTCTTGAGTCTGTGGCTGTGAATAATCTCCCTGCACCTCCCATCCACCCTTGCCTAGTGCTGGTCCCAAGGCAAAGGCAAAGTCAGGGGGGTTGGTCCTGAATAAAGATTCTGGGAGTGGTTGGGGGTATGGTGGAGGAGAGGGGTGACAGACTCAGACAGCAGGAACTCTACCCAGTAGGGAGTTTCCGCAGAGCATTTTGTCCAAGAAGCCACGGCTAAAGGCGTGCACGAAGGGGCAGGACGACATGATACCAAATTCATCTTTGTATTTCCCTCTCTCCACCTCAATGGTCAGCTCTCCCTGAGGCTCCCCTGTGTCTGAGATCATGTCCAGAGTCTCGGAGAAAAACAGCATCTGCAGCTCCTTGCGCCCTGGGGGTGAGGGGCCCGTGGGGACAGATAAAGTCCCTGCTGCTGGGTCCCAATCCTCTGATCCCGGACCACCAGTGTCCCCTGCAGACTCCACCTACTCCCTCCTTACCCCACGCGCCTCCCGGCTGGCCCTTGCCTGGGCTCCAGTGGCATCTATAGGAGCCAGCAGGTGAAGACCCCCTCCCCCACGTCCCTGGAGTCTTCCCTTAAAGAGTGTCAGCAAATAGGAGGCCTGAAGCCTTTTCTGAATCCCAGGAGAATCAAGGCTGAGAGAGTGGGGGCCGGTCTGGGCCTCCTTCCTCTGCCCTCCCCGGACTTGCACCCCGCCCGCCATGCCCCCACCGCCCCACCGTCTGGGCTCACGGAGGGAGCTGAGGAAGTCGATGGCTTCAGCATTGGCCTCTGGGAGTGGCAAATTCTCTGGGCCTGAGGGCCGGGGGTCCTTGGCTTTGGGGACTGCAGAGGGAGGACGGGTTAAGATGGCGGGCCCTGGGGAGAGGGCGGAGTGGGACAGGCGTACCCCCATCGCAGCCCCGTTTCCCCCAGGAGCAGAATCCTCCCAGACCAAGCCTGGGGTGGACTGTGAGGGAGAAGAGGTCCCCCTACGTCCAGCCCCAGCAGCCCTCTTCCCACCTATGGAGTAAACTCTGGAGGACATGCTGCCTGCCGCTACCCGGTCTGTATCCAGCTATCTCCATGGCAACCGGGAGCTAGCTCCCGCCTCTTAAAGGGCCATCAACCAACTTCGCTACACCCAAACCTTGAAGGAAATTGACATTGCAAGGTCTGGAGCTCGGCTCATGCACGAGATGTTGTCCAGCAGAGGGAGCACTTGACATTCTTAAGAGACAGGGGTAAGAAACGGATCGTTAGAATGATCTTAGAAATTGTGACCCAAAGTCAGACGTAGCCTCACGTGCAAAGAATCCGATTAGATGCCACGTGAATATCTCTGCAAGTTGTGTCCTAATACATGTAACAGTAATGATGACAACAACAATCATAACAAACCCTTAACTATGCTTACTTTTGGCCAGGCACTATTCTAAAGGGCTTTACATATGTTATGTCATTCAATCTACAGACTAACCCTGTGAACCTCCACCTTATGAACAAGAAAACTGAGGCACAGAGAGGTTAAACACTTTCCCAAGGCCACACAGCTAATAATTGGCAGAGCCAGGACTCAACCCAAGGCAGTCAAGCTCCAGAGTCTGAGAGAATTCAGAGGATAAGGAAGCGGTAAATAGATGATACATTGAATGCAAACAAATGGTGCAACGATATGGGGAGTGATTAGAGACATAGCCTTGAAAACTGAATGATGCTATTACTGAAACCCTGGGCTGTGGCCATTTGATCTCCATCCTGTACATATGAAAAGGGGCTCAGCCTGATAGTGGAGGTCACAGGAAAAATCTTGGCCCAAAATCTCCTCAGTTACCTGAGGAGTTGGCCGCCACTTCCAGTCCAGATCACTTGGGAACATAATCCTCAAATGACTCTTTATTGGTTAATCATCTTTCAACTTCAGGAAGATTTAGGATTCCATGTAGAAATGCTTATGAGGATCAAACTAGCCGTATTATTTGTGCGTATATGTGTGTTATAACACATTGTACGTATTTCAAGTTCTCAAAATGTTTAAAATAATTCGGCATATTGAAGTGCATAAAAGACAAGCCTGAAGATTCTAATTTAAATTGGGCAGTTGAATAATTTAGACTTGTCATTTTAAGCTAAAGTCTTATGAGATTGTAAGTAGAACCAGAACATTAAAAATAAAAAAACTTGAAATTTACTATAGTTGAAGTACGGCGAGTTGGCTCATGCCTGTAATCCCAGCACTTTGGGAGGCTGA